AGGCCCTGGGAGGCAAATGCAAAAGTAAGGAGAGATCTTGACTTCCGACCGCAGCTGCACCCAGGTCTGCTGCTGTGGGTGTGGACAGGAAACAGCAGGGTCTGGTAGAACCTGAGGATGCTGGGCAGGGCCAACTTTGAGAGAAACTGAGGCAGCCCTGGCCCTCTCAGAAATAGGCCTGGAGTCCCTCCCACCCTCACCATGGGGCTTGAAGTGCATCCTGAGCAGCCCAGCATGGAATGGAATGTGGATTATTTCTGAAGTAACCTCCTCTGCCTGCCCAAGCCAGAGAGGCCTGCAGTATCTCAGGTTGCTTCGAACATATTTAACTTCCATCTCCAAGACGGAACAGCTTTCTCTGAGGTTCCTGAGCACATAGCCTCTTCTTTGAATCTCCTGGGCATATGGAATTTTCTGCTTGGCAGGAAAGCCATTTCAATTAGTCTCCCTGCTGTAGTGGGTTTATGAAACTCCACAATCTGTGTTGTGTTAGCCTGTCTGTACTGCTGTGTAACTAGTGCCTCATTCTGACACACATCAGGCAGCTGCTTTTGAACAGATTTTTTGGCCTCCTGTGTGCAATACGGTATTTATCCATTCCACGGCTGGTGGTTAAGCAGCTGATGTTTAACCTCAGGGACGCGACTGAGCCTGCTGGTCATTTGCACTGTTAGGACAGCAAATAGTCCCACGTATTTCAAGCTCCTTAGACATGGCCTGGGAGCATGTCTTGAAGGAGATTGGGCTGCTCCACAGATGAGAGGCTGCAGGACCATCTTCAAGGAGGCTACTACGTGTGCACAAGCAGGGTGCAGGTGCCACCAGCGCAGACATTTAGGGGAGCCTGGGAGCTCTCCACCTGGAATGGGAGGCCAGGGGCGGGGGGGCAGGGGGACCTAAACAGAGAGAAGTCACTTTGGAATGAGACCAGCCAGCAAGATCAGCAAATCCTGCCTTCTTTACTTGGCCTGAGGTCTTGGTATGGGGGCATAAATGCCATACCGTCCTGTTGGGTTTTTTGTTTTTGTTGTTAAGACTGAGAGAACCAAGTGGGTACACTGAGGCAGGGATTTTTTTTTTTTTGGAGAGGTTTTTGCTATAGGGCGCGTGCACTTGCCAGACAGACAGACAGAGACAGAGAGATAGAAAGCGAGAAATCACCTCCCAGAGGGAATGGCCACACTGCCATCTCTTCTCCTCCATTCTCCTCTTGGGATCTTGGGCACGCACGCACACACGCCCGGCGTGAGTTTTAAGCCACTGGGTCCAGGACTTGAACCGCGGTCGACTACGTGGGAGTCCAGCGACATAGCCATTACGCTAACTGCTGGTCCCGTGAGGCAGGGATTTTGACCCTTGAACCTTGATGAGGGAGCTCAGAGGTTGCCAAGAAGTCCCATGCAGAGGGCACAGCCCAGGACAGGGTTCAGCTCTCTGTGGTGTCATCTCAGCCACGGAGACAAACCAGGAGTGGGAATCCCAGCCCTGACGCCTCTCTCTGAGTGTGTCAACAGTGGTTGTAAAAGGGTCATAAAAGTGCTTGGTGAGCTGCCTGGGCAAATGCATCGTGTCTGGACAACGTGGCTGTTTTCAGCTTCAGATGGGTCATTCATTCCTAGAGGCTTTTTAGAATCCCAGCACTTTCAGACCGAAGGGAACATTTTCAGAGTCTGCACATTATCAGTGCTAGATAAGAGAAGACAGATTGAGAAACGTGGGGAGGGAGAGTTAGAAGGGATGTAAACAGGGACCTGAGATTTAATGGGATCTGATGATGTTGCCAGAGCCCTGACTAAAGCTTAGGGCTGGGTTTGCATTTGCTAAATAATCAAGAAAACCTCCCCTCTCTCCTTCATTACCCACTTGTCCACTCCCATTTGTTACCACTGCCCTCAAGGCTCAGTCAACTACTGAGGTACTTGGAAATCACATGATATCCTAAGCCCATGGGCATGGCTGGGCTGGGTCTGTCCCTGGCACCGAGCTTGCATGTGGGAATTCTTGGGGCCTGTTGAACAGAGCTAGCAGAGGGTACAGAGGGTACAGTCATAATGAGGGGGCAATTGCTACCCCCTCTTCTGATCCTTGATCCCAGCCATGATCCTATTTTAACATGGAGTCTGGGCAGAATATGCATAGTTGCCTCTTATCCACCAATGGGTGCCTAAACCGAGCACAGTACTAAACTATAAATATGCAATGTTTTATCCTATATATACATTCATCTCCATAATAGTTTTCTTTTCTTTCTTTTTTTTTTTTTTGGAGAGGTTTTTGCTATAGGGCATGTGCACTTGCCAGAAAGACAGAGACAGAGAGACAGAAAGTGAGAAATCACCCCCCAGGGGGGATGGCCATGCTGCAATCCCTTCTTCCCCATTGTCCTCTCGGGATCTTGGGCACGCATGCACATGCGCCCGGCCTGAGTTTAAGCCATTGGATCTGGGACTCAAACTGCGGTCAGCTACATAGAAGTCTGCGACATAACCATTACGCCAACTGCTGGTCCCAAGATTTTTTAACGAATTATTTAATTTCATTTATTATTTTTTAAAGAATTATTTAATTTCATTATTTTTAAATTTGACCAGAGAGAGACAGAAAGAGAGAGACAGAAAGTGAGAAAGCAAAGCCACCAGGTCCAGGATTCCTGTAGGAGTCCAGCACCTTAGACTGTGCCGGCCCTATTATTATTTTTTAACTTCCTACAGGAACATACACTCATCAGAGAGAGAGAGAGAAAGAGAGAGGAAAAGTGAGAAAGCAAGCTGCCCAGGTCCAGGACTTGAACTGCGGTTGGCCATGTGGGAGTCCAGCACGTCAACCACCATGCCACCTGCTGGCCCTGATGATTATAATAGTTTAACTTACAAATTAGACAGAGCAGGAGATGAACAACTAATAATAAAATAAAACAACTATAACAATATGCTGTAATGGGTGTTGGTGGCTATGAAGTGA